AATTTCTACTGAAGCTTTGGTAGCGGTTCTGTTACAGAGAAGTTTGTTTCACTGGATGTTCCACGATGTAAACACGGTTTGTAATGAAATAAAACTCGTTATCCAGAGACACGGTCGAGCCCGAGCGTCTCAGCTTTTCTTTAGTGGGTAAAAATACTCACATTCAGATTCTACTGGAAATAAATCAGCTGTTCAATGAAGCTGATGGCACGTCCACAGTGGGACGTGGTCCAGAATAGTCCCACAGCGAGAGATTCTGATTCAAGTAGGGGTCTTTTTATGTCCTCTGTGGTTCAATTAAATTTTATTTAAACAGCGCCAAATCACAACAACAGTCACCTCAAGGCGCTTTAAGGTAGACCGTAGACCCTACAGGTTCAAATAAGTATCAGTGATATCTCATGTTTACCTTCACAACAGTCTCACCTTTATTTTCTCAAAGATCTCAAAGCATACAAAACACTTCTGCTGGTCAGCAACACAAATATTTTTAACAGCTTTTGAGGTTTGAATTTAAAACTTTTTTCACAGCTAAAAACCAGAAAGCAGCAGAAGACAAAACCTGACCGACGAACATTTAATCCAATGATGCAGCTTTAAGTTTCTTTACATTATTTTGCAGGAATGAGTGATGTGCTGTTACAGTCTTGACTCTGTCAGCAGTGAACAAGTCTGATACTGAGCGGGCAGCTTCGACGCGCTCGGCGGGTCGCTGGGGTTTAGCTGGCAGCGGCGGGCGCCGTCTTGCTGCAGAGCCGTGCGAGCAGACCAGCCATCTGCAGCAGGGAGTTCACGCCTTCAGCTATCCGCATGTGGGTGTAGCCGATCTCCTGCAACAGAGAAACAACGAGATGGGACGAATCTGCGGGTAAAGTCGTCGTTAAAGACACAGCTGAAACTTTTAGGCGAAACTGCACGGCTGCTCGACTCTGACGGTCAGAAATGAGACAGAGTTTAAATGAAGTTACCTTTGAGTATTGTAACTGAAGAATCAGTCACAATACTCAGATTACCAACAGTTTTCACTTCAGTCACACATCTGACCTGGTAAAGTTGGTTTGTATTTTAATAACTTCAGATGTTTCCCACAAAAAATATAAAAGCAACTCAAAGTAGCCTGAAAATACACCAAGAGCATCCCAGTGAAATTAAAATGTCCAAGGATCCGTGAGCTCTGAAGCCAAGACTTGCTTCAAGAAATTATTTAGAATAAAAAGTAAACAGATTTCTACAAAGCAGATTTCAACACTTGAGCTCCTCCAGCTCAGACTGAGCAGCAGCTTGAAGCTGCTGCAGTGCTCGACTTCGTGCTCCGTCAGACCGAAACGACACCATAAAGTGCTCACGGGTTTCTGCCTAGAGACGAGCTGATGAGTGGGACTGATGGATGCAGACGGTCGGTGAAGCTGTTTCACTCCTCGATCTGTTCCCGTCCTCACCTCAGAACAGGACAACATAAATAAATCATGGAAGCTGGAATGAGTTTCCGGGAAAGGAGGTGGCCGTGGAGAGGAAAGTCTGGATATCTCAGCTCTGACATTTGCCCTCAGGAACACGATCCAGGTAAAAATCAATGTTTGTGTGCCTGAGCTCAGAAAGTTCAGGAAAATTCCCAAAACCTAAAACATCCAGATCTGTAACAGCAGCGGGGAGCCGTCCATCAATCATGTTCAGCACTTTGTTTAAGCTTTCCTTTAATCAGTAGCCATCAGTAGAACTGCTCCTCAGTTATTATTCATATTTCCTGAGCGCTCAGATGTACGCAAGTGGCCACCGTCCGCTCAAGGCAGCAACCCAGCAGACAGCAGCATCGTCCTTCCTGTTTCTCCGCGTGACAGGAAGCTGAAAAGGAAAGCAGATGACAGCTGCTCGAACCAGCACAGTTGACAGTCATTTGCATTTAGAAAATAAACAGCGGTACGTGAGCCCAGTGAGAGTAAACAGACATTCAACTGCTCTACCAGCACTGAGTAATCACATCCTGCATGGGCGTGGCTTAGCAGCCGCTGACTTATGCCTGGGTGCCGCTCACAGTCAGTCTGACAAAGATTTGCATATTACAAGTCAGCCTTGCAAAGAGAAGCAGCGCTGAGCCCCGTTTCCTAGTGAACAGAAAACCAGAGTGTGTGAACAGCGCTGACAGTCCCATCCAGTCAGCAGGGGATTTCCCCGTCAGGTGACTCGGGAGGGAAATTCAGTCACATCTGGTGCTCTAACAGGGATCTTTGTATAGCAGCGTGAGACTTTACTTCCTGTTCTGTTGCGGAAGAAACCTCTGGTTGAAAGTTGGTTTCAGTTCATTGCCTACACGCTTAAAAATAAGCAGAAGCCTCAAGAACCTGAAACACAAACGTCAGAGGAGGAAGAAAAAGCAGTGAGTGAGGCGTTTCCTCTGAGTGAG